AGCATTCTCTCTACATTGGCATCTTATCCTTATTAGGAGTTAACATTCCCATATAAGGAACATGGTCACACCTGTTATGTGTGGAGACATGTTGCCTTTCTAAATTATCAATTTTTTATTAAATATATATATATATATCTTCAGAACTTGCACTGAAGAAATGTGCAATGTTGTGATAAATGAAATATTAACATAAATACCCCCTCCCTTCCAAGATATACTAATCTGCAAATCAAGATAATATCAAATATATAATCTTTGACATATCCTTGAGCCATTCTTAGATAATGTATATGTATATGTACATCTGACAGCCATTTTACTCTCTGCTGTTCATACTCCTGCTTATGAAGCATACACTAGGAATTGCCACGTCTGTACACATGCATGTGTACCTATGTGTTGCAATGGAACTTACTCTGAGATAATGCATAAACCAACCTGATTAAAAAATCTGTGCATATTAATTACCTTTTTTTTTATTTAATAATTATTTTTATTGTGTTTTGGATATTATTTTTAACCTCTTCACCACAAGACATTCTCGCCCAAATTTTTCTGCACTTGTTTCTTTTAATTCATTATTTCCGAAAATGAACAATGATTTTGGAGCCAACAAACAACATTTGAGTCAATTTTCAGTTTTTACTTAAAAAATTTGTCCATTTTTGTCCCAATCTTCTGAAGGAAAGTGCAGACTATAAACGGGACTATTTTGTGAATTTTGATGAAAAGAGGGAACTGTTGGTGAAAAGGTTAAAATAAAAATATTATCTTAAGCAGTATGTGATGTTTATTCATTTGGTTACAGTTTCTCCCCTGTGCTACGTCTACCACGATCCAGTCAGACTCTATTTCATTTTCCGTGAGCTCTACATGAGATATTTTTTCCGGTTGCATAATATCTCATCACATCCTCAGGTGGGTATCATGTGACTTCTATTTGATGAATGATTATTGCCAATAGAGGGTGCTGTAACACAGAATGTAAGGTTCTGGAATGAGTGTAGTATGATCTGTGTACAGTATTTTGCTTTGATCTTGTATAGTGTTTGTGTATTGGTTGGGTTTAGAAAGTTTTAAATATTTACTTATTTATTTAAAATTCTGATTCAATATGAACTTGTAGCTAAGCCAGTCTCAACTTAGGTACTGTGTACATATCTACTTTCCATTTCCCCAACCCCAACCACCACTCTGAAATAACGAAATTGTGAAAATGCATGGATGCCTCTTTTTCAGACTAGATTTTTTTTTGTCATTTAATTATTTGTTATGATACTAGCCATTTCTCTGCTGTATCAGCAATTGTTGAAGCTTGAAAAACACTTATTGTAGATTTCCTTATAGAAATAGCATTTTATTACCTTGCCCGTACCATCAAAGATGGAAGGGAAAGGTATATTAAGGGAAAAACTTTGTCCGGCGTTGTCGTTGTTGTTGTCGTCGTCGTTAATAATTGTTATTGTGTGCATAATAACTTTACTAATTCTATTCCAAACTTTATCAAACTTGATCACCTTATTCATCAGTAAAAAGTTTTCCCTGAGTTTGAACAACAGATGTCCTGTATGAAAATATCATGCAAAAATTGAGAAAATCTGATAAAATATTTTGACTGTTTCTACTTGACTGATCACTGGTGATACACATCAAAGGTCACTGATCTCAGTGGAAATATGCATTGTTGTATGTGTTCAATGAAGCAAATGATTTATCTTGTAATAATATCCTTGGTAATGTA